CTTTGACTTATCAATTAAGGTTTAACTTTTCAATAAAATTAACTCAGAGTTGCAACAAAATCAGAGGAAATGTGTTATATCATTTGCTAAGACAAAACATTAAAGCATATTTTCAGTAAAAAAAAAATTCAAGTTATTTAGAGATGAGATGAAATCTTACCATTTTTACTGATGTCGAGTTCTTTAAGGTTAACTAAACTAGCAATAGTGGTTGGCAGATTTGAAAGGTCATTATCAGGAATACTTAGTTTTCGTAGAGCTTGACAGTTGAACAATTGCTGTAAAAAACATAATGATTAATTAGATCTTAATTTGGTTAAATCCATTCATACGTAAACTCAATAACAAAATTCAGTACACTATCTTTATAAATGTGGTAGTAAAGGGTCAGCTACAAAATCTCACCTTCATTTACCCCCATACTCTAGATTGTTTTTAGAATGTTTTCACATTCCATTCCCATGTTAGTGCATCACTTTTTTCCGTTACCCAGATTCAACCCAAGTAGTCTACTTTTTCTCCTTCTGTTTACTCTTAATGCTCAATTTGCCAATGGTCTTATAGGTATTTTTTTAATTTTGAAATAACTTCTGGAGTTTTCTCTTTTTTCCATTCCCACAGCTACTAGGGTTACCATAATTTTCTTTTCCTGCAGCTATGTTAGATGTCAGAAAGTATTATTTCCATTTAGTCATGTTGAACAGTTGCTTGTATGACATGCAAGAACTGATATAAATTTGTGTACATGAGCGTATGTTTCTTTTGTGTCCCCCCTATACTGCTTCATAGATATCTAGTAAATGAAACATTCAACCTCTGATATTTGGTGAAAAAAATCACTAACGATTGGTTCATTTCTGCCATCAGGCCAAATTGCTGGGTGGGGAAGAGTCAAATGTTAAAGCAATGGTTCTCAAACCCAGTGTGCTTATAACCGCTGGTGGGTGGAGGTCCTTGTTTAACATGTGGGATCTTGAGCTCTACCTAAAGAAAGACTGATACATTTGGTCTGGGGTGGAGGACAAAATCTGTATTTTAAACAAGCATTCTACGGACCTGGGTATTTAATGAAGGTGTTTCCAATACCATATTTTGGTAAACAGTAAGATTTTTTAGCTATGTCCATCTCATCTTAACTACTCAAGATAGGAACAGCTGGGACAGAATTTTTATTCATTTCTGGAAGAATTATCTTAATGACATCTTTTCTGTTTGACATTTCTAATTCTGTTTTGCTACATTTCCACAGATGAAGTCTCTGGTATCTATGACTATGCAATTGGCCCAGAGTACATTTAACTTCCTCTTGTTCTTACATGTAATTCATTATTTATAGGCAAAAANCCAGTTTGATTCCCACATGGGCCAGTGATGCTGTGACCGAGCTGAGTTGCCACCGAGCTGCCAACAGGTGACAGGATGGCTCAGTTGGTGAGAGCATGTGCTCCTAACAAGGTTGCCAGTTTGACTCCTGCATGGGATGGCAGGCTGTGGCCACCAGCAACTAAGATTGAACACGGCACCTTGAGCTGAGCTGCCCTGAGCCGCTGATGGGCAGCCAGATGGATCAGTGGTTAGAGCATGTGCCCTTAGCAACAAGGATTCCAGTTTGACTCCCACATGGGATGGTGGGCTATGCCCACTCGAAACTAAGATTGAACACAGCACCTTGAGCTGAGCTTGGGCTGCCGACGGGCTGTCGGACGGCGACTGGACTTGGAGCTGAGCTAGCTGTGCCCTCTACAACTAAGATTGAAGGACAACAACTTGGCTGTTCCCTTTCCCCAATTCCTCATCACTGTTCCCCTTCACCAATTCCCCAATAAAATCTTTAAAAAAAATGTGTATACATTTTTCTGGCACCTTCTGTGTAGATAGATATAGATGATGATATAAATACAGGTATATAGATAGATATACACAAATATCCACATTTCAGAAAATTGACTAGAAAATTTCTTAAGAATGTTCAAGGTTAATGTACTTATTTTTAAAGAGAAAGAGTAGAATCTTTATGAAAGAATAGAATCTTTATTGAACACAAGAGGTTGGGATCTCATTTTCCAGTTCATTTCTTTTCAGTTCATTAAATGCGTTCAATATTCCAAGTAGGTAAATGTTCCAAGCACTGGGTGCTTTCAATGCTTCAAGTATGCAAAAATCATTAAGAAACAGTACATGTCGTTTAAAAAAAGAGTTATAATGTAATGGGGAATAAAATATATAATTAGTAGACACCTAGCCTGTACCCAATAATCAGAGAATATGTATTTACATTACAAGAAATAAAGTATATTTTAAAAATTGACCATACTTGGTCAGAATGTGAAAGTCAATAAATAATGAGAAATTAGTATTATCTAGACCATGTAGTCTGCAACATATTTCAATAAAAATATGATGACTACAAGATACATCAATATATTGGAAAACTAAAAACAACTGAGTAAACCCTAAGGAAGTAGAAGAGGCATAATAAAAATACAGGAAGTAATAAAGTATAAATTAATGACTAGAAAATAAAACAACCAATAGAGAGACTAATAAGCCAAAAGAGTATTATTTAAAACATTAGTAAAGTAGAAAAATCTCTGGCAAGATGGATTATAAAAATGTTAAAAATAGCACAATTAAACAACATTAGGAAGACAAACAAAGAAACAGCCATAGCTATGGTAGATATTTATATAATGCATAAGAGAAGCCTAAGGATAATGTTTGACAATAAAATTCACCATCTGGATAAAGCACTAGATGATTTCCCAGAAAATTAACCTATAAAAAAGACTCAAGATGATATAAACGTATAAACATATAAGGATAGGAAAGAAAAATTGTTGTATGTGGATGATATGATTTTATTTATATCATATAAATATGAAATTTACAGAAAAATTCAAAAGAATCTGCTAGCTATATATTAGAACTTATAATTAGCACTGGGGCTGAATGTAAGATCAAGATATNGAATGGTTTGCTTTACTTCTAACCACTCTAGAGAAGGGAGCTGAGAACTCAGTCAGAACCTAAGCAAGAAGAATTAAAGGTTTCCTGCAAGACTCTCTATTTTAGTAGCATTATAAAGAGAATAAACCAATGCAGGTAATCAATAATCTGAGAGAGTTATGCAACTGATTTTGCCATAGGGACATGTGCAGAGACAATTTTGAAAAGTCTTTATGACCTTGACCAACGAGTTCATTCACAAAGGAATGAATCTGACTTAGTCATATGAATTAAAGTGACACCTGGTTCCCTCCCCTACTCTCCCCCTGCTTCAACAAAATACATAGGGAGTCACTATTATGTGAAATGAACTGTTTAATAATCTTACTTCATATTTGACTAATGATTTTTTTCCTTCATTATCAATCAACCACTTTATTGAGCGCTTACTGGGCCTCTACAGTAACAGTGGCTATTGTAAACTGTGAGGTGCAGCAGTTCTAGCTTTCAAGTTTATACTAAAGTGGGAGGGAGTATGCTCACAATGTTTCATTACCAGTTCCATTTTGTTCTCTTACAATTTTCCAGGATTTACAAGGACACAGAAGACAACTTAATCACTCAGCTCAGAAAAGGCTCTGCTGTGACTATAGAAAAATGTATCGGCCTAGGTGATAAAGACCAACAAAGACTTCAGAAGGAGGAGGGGGTGGGAGAAGTTCCTTTCTTTTTTATAATTAGATAAATTACCCAATTGTAAACTCTATCCCCCAGGGAGTAAGTGTTGGTAACACACATACACATTATTTGTTGATTTTCTTTCCCGATGACAACATTAGAAAGAGTTAAAAATCCTGGCATCAGGCTGAGAAGGTGGCAGGAGGGCAGACTGGTTTTTGTTACCCTCATATTCTTTAACAGAAATAGGAGTCAATCTTCAGTTTATTTTAAAACTATAATCTTGGGCAGAAGTCGGTTTTGGAGAAAGGGAAAGTAGCCTTATAGTGAATGAAGTGCTAGTGA